GTGTATAAGGTCCAGAAAACTTGACCTTAAAGCAGGATTATAATATACCCCAATACTGAGAAAGTGTCGACATCAAACCGACCTACCGAAAATAACATTTCCGCGGTCGTATTGAAAGCATGAAAATAACACTGGAACATCTCTGTGATCCAAAACTTTGGAATAGGATGTTTATCAGAATTTTACTAACTCTTGTTGAAGTAAAGTGCTTATTGTTTTATTGATACTCGGTTTTGTACATATCGTGAAAAGTAGTATATACATTCGATATAGAAGGTAGAAAGTAGAAGTAGTGTGAACACTACTTGCGGCGACTTCTATGACGGTTGCTAGGTTCCGCTTCGTCTTGCGCTTTCCAGCGCCTTTCTTGGGCAACTTGATGCTCCCTCAGCTCTCTTATCTCTGATTCAGCAGCATTAAGTTGCCTTTGAAGGGCTTTAGTATGGTTCTGGGTGTCATCTTGCATTTCGTCAAGACGAAGGATATCTGCAGTGTTCGCCTGCGCAACCGTATTCACCTCTAGGATCCGATTGATTGACATCCTTGATTGATCGAATTGCCGGGCAATTCAGTTTACTATAACTGGAAGAGCTCTGTCAGCGGTTCCTCTTCTAGAGACGTTATAGAAACCTCGTGTCATTCCGTAAGGAGGGCGTTGGCCGTCTTGTCGACTCCAATAGTTTATGTATTGGCCCCACTCGGGTATGGGTTCTGCTTCCTCTTGCCTCAGGGGACTCTCCCCAGGGTTGCAGACTTGTGGCTCTGTATCTGTACCACTTGATTCGCTGTCCTCAAAGGGTTCTTCATCTGAGTCTGTGATCCAGCTTGCATTTTGTGGATTGTAGGGGTCTCCCGGTAAATTGGGTTCAGCCGTAGGTTCTGTATTAGAAGTAAGGTTAGTAAAATACTCTCCGTAGTATTTTAATCTGTGTGTTCTGTTCTATAGTTCTTCTGTATATGTATGGTAAGTTTTAGACATGTCGCAACACCACTATCACTCCCAAACACATGTTGGTCATATCTCAAATCAATATAGTTGATCAGGCTATATTAATTCCAGATATGATTACATAGCTGCCCGGGTTTGACTATAGTGTTAAACATCCAAATACTTTTAAGTTCTTATGATTGTGATATTGTACTTGTAAGTATGAGTGTGTTCTTATCACTATGATATTGTACTTGTAGGTATGAGTGTTAGTATACTTCTTATAAAAATACTTAAATCTTTAAAAGTATATTTGTAGTCAGACCTCCTTGCCCCGATGTATTTATAGTTTGTATATCTTTTATGAATTGATATACTGAGTTCACTATAAACAATGCTCTGATACCAATCTGTCACACCCCCAAACCAGACGGCGGAAACGTCCGGGGGTGGAGGACTTCAATTGTAGTATCACAACACATGCATCATAGTAATCAAAGTACAAACAACCATTGTATTTAAAAGGTATAAGTATTTACATGTGTTCAATCATTGTATATTGAACCAAAATATAGTTATACAAAAGAAGATATGACTCAACATAGCTCCATCTTCTCAAAAAGCTCGGGGAGTACCTGTGTATTATTTCCCTGAGAATACAAGTAATTTGAAAAGAGAGTATCAACATAAAGTTGAGTGAGTGCATAAGTGTTTATGTTTAAAGGATGTCTCTGTATCTTGTATATGTAAATTGTTCCAGAAAATCCTATATTTTCTGTTGTATATGAAAAGTAGTTTTATTCCCATAAAATCGTTCTCTGTGTATCAATGTTTTGTATTTGTATTCCTTTATGAAAACTTGTAACTGAGAGTGTGCCTGGCTCCACCAGCTGTTATTGAAAACTGTATTGAACCATTGTATTTTGTATTCTGTAAACTGGTACTTTGAAGGTGTACTTTCGTTTAGTTGTTTATACACTAACGTATTGTTAATATCTTTTTAATGAGTTATTATAACCATACTATGACTGATGGCCTGAAACAAACGCTTTGTGGGCATTTAAACTGTTGATAACAATTTCCACTCATCGGCATGTATGCTTGACTGAAGCTAGCAGCCTGAGCGCGAGGTTGTCAATCCTGATATAGATCTACACACAACTTGCTTCGATCCCCGGCTGGAGATTCTGGTTATAATGTCAGGGCTTTACCTATGTTGTCTAAAATGAATTAAACAACCTGAATTAAATGTCTCATAAAAAGCATATAAACATTACATGTATAATAGTTATGAAAACCCAATCATTCTGAAATAAATGATTGACAATATTTTCTTGAATTAGTATTCCGAACATGTATGTTCTTGAATAAAAACCCAATCATTCTGAAATAAATGATTGGCAGTATGTTCTTGTAGTAGTATTCTGAACATGTATTTGATAAGTGTAAACCCTTGATTTGTTCTGAATCAAAACCCTTGTTTCTTGTAAGACAGTGTATTCTAGTATACTTGAATCATGAATTATTGTTCTATGTATAAATTATACCTATTATAATTTATATGTACATTCTGAATCTGTATTAAACTATGTTTGCATGTAATCCCTTGCTCAACATGTTACAAAGGTAGTTAAACTGATGAAATAACTATTATATTTATATACATATACAATTTTATATAAGTAAAATTTAAACGACACTCGGACAAATAACCGGTACTATAAGCCCACATCCAAACAAGCAAAAGGACCCAGAATGGGTTATCAGTCCTAAGTCTTTTAAATCTCATATATATATATATATATATATATATATATATATAGATATATATATATATATATATATATATATATATATATATATATATATATATATATATACAAATATGAATTTTGGGGAAAAATATAAGTTTATAAAAGATTTAATGTTTTGAGTATTTTTAATGATTTAATGTTGTTTTATCATGATTTGAAATCATGATTTTATAACACAAAGTTCTTGTGTTATGCTTGTATTCCCCCACTTAAAACAGTAGAAATTATGAAAATACGGGGGTATGAACTCACTTGATAGGTGGTGAATTGGACAGGGTTTCGTTTCATGAAAAGGAGTTTGCTTGACGAGAAACCGGCTTAAATTGGGCAGAGTTTCGACTGGAGAGAGGTTAACTTCTCAGGAATCTCGGGGCTTCGAGGCTTGCTTAGGGTTTTAGACTTGATACCGGGGCTTTAGGGGTTGTACGTGAGCTTATGGGAGTGGAAAGTATGAAAGAGGGTGAAATTTAGGGTGAAAAATGTAAAATAATTCAGAACCCTCGCATACCTTATATAGGCCGAAGCCTCGGATCCGAGGCTATGCGAGGCTGACGCGTGTCGGACAGGTGGCGAAGGAAGGGGCTCGCTTCGGACAGCAGGCTCGCAGGTGGCAGGTTCGGACTGGACCGGACTTCGGTCCAATGGGAAGAGGGCACGTGCGAAGGGGGTGTCCGAGGAGTGTCCGAGGGTCATCTGCGGTGTGTCTCATGCGAAGATGTCCGAAGATGAGTGGACCGCAGAGTTGGTCGAATCAGAAGGTGCCACGCAAGGCTTCTGTCCAATCAGCAGATGACACGTGCGAGGATGACGTGTCCGAAGGTCATGCATGCGAAATTGCCCGGTTTTCCATTTTTCTTGATTTTTGTGCAAAAAACTTGCGAAAATCATAACTTTCACATGCGAGCTCCGTTTTTGGCGTTCTTTATATGCACGCGTAGGTAAAATAATACTCTACGACTTTTGTTTAGACTTCGTCGGCTAATTTTTACTTTATTTTTAATATTATTATTTTTAACAGATCGGGACGGAAATCCGTTAAAAATTCATAACTTCTTCATCCGACGTCCGTTTTTGTCTGTCTTTTTACCGTTGTACTACTATTGACGAGACCTTCAATTCTCGTTTAGATTATGTCGGCTAAAAATCACTCGATCTTTATTTCGAGTTTTTAGTTGTACACTGCTATACTGAAACTTAGAAAAATCGTAACTTCCTCATACGAAGTCAGATTTTGCCGTTCTTTTTATGAAAGTTCTCGGTTTAACATAAACTACAACTTTCATTTAGATTGTTAAGGCTGAAAAGCCTTTTATTGAAAATTCAGTTTTTACACTGAACAGTGTTTTGCCGGTTTTGTTGCAGATCTTTTATTGGTCATAACTTCTTCGTTATAACTCGGATTTTAGTGTTCTTTATGTTTTTGGAAACCTTTGTACAATCTCTATCACTTGGTTCATCCCAATCGAGATTGTCTAATAATTTATTTTTGAAGGTCAATTATGTAAATATACACATTATGCTAAAATTTCTCTTTATTATTTTAAAAAGAAATACACATTGACCTACATTATTACATAGATTTGAAATAACGGTTTGTTACAGGGACCGAAAGTAAGAACAATGACGAATGTTTTAAGAGGCTAACCTGATTGTTCAGTGATGAATAATGTTGATTATATGATGAATAATGTTGATTATATGATGTTCAGAAACGTGCAACCCTTGTAAACATTCAAAGATTAGATGTTATTTTTTTCTGCGATGATGATGTTTAATATAAGCCGTAAAAGATGAAAGTGGGGGAAGAAAATTGTTAGAGATTTATTCCAATATAAAAGTAATTTGAATTTGAATGATATGATAGGAATGATATGCATTTAAATGGTAATTTGAATATTTCATAAATATTATCTCGTTAGTTATGGCATGTATAATACAATTCCTTTTAAAATCTTCAATGTAGGTAAAAGATGACAGCAAATTCTAAAGCAATCCTCAGCAACCGCCACTAGGCACACAATAGAATTAGAAGCCCTTTCATAGTATTCGCTCCTCGAGAGTCCAGCGGCCCATATGTTAATTGTAAGGGTGAGGTAAGAAGAGTTGATGTGAACCACAATAATAATAATAATAATAATAATAATAATAATAATAAGGAAAGGCTGAGAGTTAGAGACTTTGAAAAGGGTAATTTGGTTCCGACGTTCCACAGCCGACCACCGGTTGAGAGTAGAAACCCAATCCTGTGCAGTTGTGCCATGGATGCCATATCCACCCCCGTGATCAGTGTTCCTAAGATTCATCATCGCCTTTACCACCTCAAACCTCCCCTTGTTCTTCCCCAACCCCATGGCTACATCTCTACTGCTACGACTACGGCCGCCACCGCCACTTCGATATCAAATAAAACCACTCCCTCCTATTCCTGCCGCCACAACCAAAAGCTCACCCCAACCCAGCTTCCATCTACCTCTCAACCTCAACCAACTATATCCCCTACTATCCACCAGAACGCCGCTACTGGCTACGCAGCCGCACTCATAGACGCCGCACTCTGCAGTAATTCGCTAGATGCAGTTCATAAAGATGTGAAAAGATTGTTAAAATGGCTGCAGTCTAACCAGATGTTGAAGGATATGATGACAGACGCAACTATGGAAGAAATTGTAAAGGGGAGAGTGATAAAGGAAGTATCCAAGAAAGCCAAGTTCCAACGCCAGGTGGTGACACTGTTAAAGATGTTGGTGGCCAAGAATAAATCAGGGATGGTGGCACAAGTGATGGAGGAGTTCCAAAGGATTTACCTTGACCTGAATACCTGCAGTTTTAAGCTGGTTGTTTAATTACTAAATTATAGTATTTATTTGTCGTTTTTAATTAATTATGTATGAATCTATGATTAACATAATAAGCTACCTCATTATTGTTTTGTTGTTGTTGTGTGTGGACTCTTTCATTGATCCTATCTCCTTCAAAGGACAATTAAATGTGTACATGTATATTATTTGGTGGTTTTAGTATCTATTTCTTGATTGCAAAAAAGCCATTTATGGATTTGAAATCCTGGTGCATTGATTGAAGCTACCCATTTCATTAGCATCAGAAAACCATATATGGTGATCAATATTTCCCTTCTTTGAGCATACATACATCTTGAAAATATAATTTCTAAATACAGGAGATAAGCTTTCTATACCCCTCTTAACTCGTAAGTTTTGTCTTTGGTGCATATGTAGATAGATGCCTATTTTGGCAACATGGTAGTCAAACATATTATATAGATAGATGCCTACAGATAGATGCCTATTTTGGCAACTAGGTTGTCTTTGGTATATCCCTTACCAAGATTTGTTTTGATAAATCCCATTTTTTTTTAAGTTATTATATTTTAAGGGATTTATTTGGTTTTTTTTTGTCAAATTCTATTAAAGTTATTGTAGTTTGTCTTTTTTTGTTGTTTAAGCATTTAATTTTTGTTCTAGGTTAACTATTGAAAGTTTGGTTTGATTTTAAACAATCAATCAATCTGAGTTGCAAATAACAACTAGAAGATTCAGTGACCAAATAAATCCCTAGCTAAATCAGCGACAAATTTCCGATGGATCAACAACGGAAAGTATATTAACCGATAAATAATGAAATACAACTTTTAGGGAGGGATTACCGACAGTTCAACGAGGGATTAGCTAGGAATTAGCAATGGAAATAATCCCTCGCTAATGTCTTCTCAAAAATAAACCTTGATCGGTCGCTATTATAATTCCCGCCTGCCTTTTCAGTTCCCTCTCAAGAGACTATCTCTCCAATTGAAAATGAGTTCCAAAATTTTAATCACCACGCTTCTTTCTCCCCCCAAAATATTTGTAAAGCTTTATTTCTCTCTCATTCATGAAAAATGTGCGGCCTTCTACCTCTTCGTCTTTGCCACTCCCACTCTCATCTAGGGTTCGAAATTGGAGACAGTCGACATGGATGCCTTGGTATTGTCTCTTTGTAGGTTATTGTTGATCGTAATCATGATGAGTTGTAAGAAGAGCTTAAAGAAAAACATGACAAATTTGAGACAAAAAATAAAATAGAAGTAGCCAAGATTACTCATCTAACTGTACTTTGACACTTTTGCTTTTGTAACTTGGTTTCAACTTTCAATATTTTGAAATCGAACATTAGTTTTTATTTTACTAATCAAATACTAATATTTATTATGGTAGTTGAATGCTAAAGTTTTGATTTTGGGGTATAAAGTTTGACATATATTTGTGAATTCTCGTTTGGAATAACGACAGATTTGACATTTACTAGACCGTTGTTAAAGCAGAGAAATTATTCATTTACTAATAATCTGACGGAATAGCGACGGGTATAGCGACAGATTAACGACGGAATCTGAAGGTTTCCTGAGTAATTTGTGGCATCGCTAATCTGTCACTAATTTTCGCTGACAATTAGCGACAAGGGTTTTTTCGATCGACAAATATGTCGCTAATCCGTTGCTGATACCTCAGTTTCTAGTAGTGGGTTAAAGACCTTTTTTTAAAATAAAATTTTAATTCACTGTTCTTTTTAAAAATAAAAACAAACTCTCATTAGTTAAAGTATAAACAAAATCTTTTCGATGATTAAACCGAAAATAAAAAAACACACTACATTAATTTTTATGGAATTTGCCATTTTCTGTATTAAAATTTGACATTTTTTTCCGTTTTTAATCGTAATTGACCTATAAAAACTATTTCGAATCTTATGACCAAGCATTGGTCACGGTGCGAAGCTAAACCCTTAGGTGTGACGCGACTTTATATAGGTCGCGACGCAACACCGCTATTTGCATAAAAACCCTAGTTTCAAGATTTAGACCTATTTAAAGGAGCTAACATTTAGGGTTTCCCTTTCTATCAAACTCCAACCCCAGATGCTCTCATTGACATGAAACTGTATCCCATATAATTCCATTTTTGAGATATTAATACTTGAGAGTGAAGTTTGAAGAAGAAGTAGGCCATTTTGTATCAAGTGAAGCAAACTCCGTAGATTTTCTACCTTCTAATCATCTGCTCAAGCTCTGTAAGTCATCAATTCCCTACCTATAAGGCTTTTACATGCTAGATTTAGGTTTTTGAGCTTGTATGTCCCTTCTTGTCATGATTCCTACGGAGTTTGGAAAACTCTTGGTTCAAAGGTGGCTTCGCATGATTTTATGGACCTATTTGTAGTGTTTTGAGTGCATGTTCATCCTTCTATTTGAACCATGCAAGATGATTGGGGCATTTTAGACATAGGTTTAGAGTTGATTGTGTTTGAGGCATGCAGATGGATAAAGTTGGAAAGTTTATTCATTAAGACCATATTTCAAGGTTTTTTGTAACTTATAAGCCTTGGTCTTAAGGGATGAAGTGCTTAATAAGGACTATGTCTTGAAAAGCAATATGCGATCAAGGAAGGGTCACTACGTGAGAGTTGAATTGGGTCGACAAGTATTTTGTTGCCTAGTGATCACAACCGCAATGACTTGCTTACAGTTAACTTTGACCATTGACCGTTGACTTTTTGACAAGTTTGACTTTTTGTAAGAATTTTATGAATGAATAGATTCTAATTTGATAACAACATGATTGTTTGAATGACTAAGAACACAAGAAGATACATAACATCATTGTTTCATTAGAGAGCACAATAACTATTCGGTACAAGAGTATGGAACTATTATGTCAAAAAGTACTCTCTACTAACTAACTTCCCTATATATAGGCATTGAGGGAAGTCGGAAAGGAGTGTCTAAGTCAACAGTTCAGAACTGTGAACCTAAATAGAAACTAAATATGTGAAATACAAACTGAACTGCGAACACAGTCGCTAACACAACTTGAAACAACATAATATTCTAAAACTCAACAATCTCCCCCTTTGTGTCAAGTATAAAAGTTGTCTTCATTTCTTCTTACCAAACACCTTCAGAATCGTCTTTATCAAAATCAAGTGAATCATGATCTACCATCTTATCATATGAGAGAGACACTTAACATCATTAGGATGGTTCAATTTGCACACCTCAGCTCTAGATAGAACATTGGTAAGAGCATCTAAAGGAAATAGATGTTTGTCTTGCAGAAACATCATACAGTTTCGCAATTCGCCATTCTTAGAAGTTTTGTAAACAACACCCCAAGGTTCTTTCTGAATAAATCTAACTTTAAGACTTTCTAGTCCTTCAGGTTATGGAATGGGTTTCAGAATAGGTATTTGATTCAATAATATTCCTACCTCCGCATCCATCTTCAAAACTTCTTGAATGTAGCCCCAAATCTTCCTTCTTAAAATCTGAAACATGGGCTCATACTTCATACGATATTTCGAAACAATGTTAAGCAATACAATCCACTCATATGGATTCATCTGTGGTAAATCAACAAGTATGAAATTATATGTTTCATGATTAGATCCTCTGAATCCTTTGAATGATACATTTGCAAAACCTGCTGCTTCAAAGGGTTTTCCAATATTCAGACCACTATTCTTTATAGGCTCCAAATTTTATATTGTGGTATTGACTGCTTCGCATAAAAGTTAAATAACTTCTTATTTGTTAGACCATTTCCTAAAGGAACATCATCAACCTTGTCCAAACACCAAAATATGAATGCCTTTGCAGTCATTGGAAAGTCAAGTTGACAATCAATTTTTTTTTCACCGAAAAGGAAGTTATAGGTACTAACCAGAATGGGTTAACCTTCTTAACATCTTCTTTTTTCCATTCGATCAACCGTCCATTCAGGAAAAAGAGCTCTCTTGGAAGCTTCAATCTCATTTGCATTTTGCTTTTCAGCGTCTTGTCGATCAATAGATTCTTTAACTGCCACCAGCTTATCAAGCTCTTTATCCCTTGTGTTGGGTTTTTATTCAAAAAAAAAATCATAACATAAAGATAGCAATGGAATATTTTGATTTTTGAGAAAAATAAAACTAATTGTATTCCCATAAAAAGATCATTTTTTAAGACTTGGAAAGATGAAACATAACCATAGAAGAAGAAAGTGAAGCAACCTTTGAAGACTTTGGTTCCTTTTCGCAATTAGGAAGTTGATGAAGATGGCTTTAAGCTATAATGAACAAGCTCTTTAGAAGTATCCACCAACATTTAGCCAACTTGATAGGATGCTAGTCGTCATCTTGTAATAAAAGAATCTCTTAAGCCTTTAAGAACAAAACAAAGCTTTGGTTCTAAAGGAGAGTTTCAAGTAAAGTATCAAAATTCTTCTTACTTTCATCTTAACACTTTAAGAGACAAAACAAAAGAGAATATGGAGAAGAGAAGGAAGAAATTTCTTGATTTTGTCTTGGTATATCCATATAATGAAAGCCTTTCTTAAGCCTTTTAACCAAATCTTTATCCCATGGGTCTTAACACTTTAAGCAACATGTCTCTAGAGACTATATCTTAATAATACTTTCAATAAATGCTTCTAAAGCATGTCCCCTTGAATATTATAATCCAAAAACCATATTCTCTTACACTATGACTAGCTCATATTTTTTTATAAAGAAAAGAGAAGATTTTATAGAAAAAAATCTTCAAGCCTTTTATAAGATATAAAACCTTAACATTTTAGCTAAAAGACAAAAGTCTTTCTAGTCCAAAAAGATGTACATGACTTAATAAATCATACCTTATGATATATTATAATATATTTTGATACTTAATATTGAAAACTAATAGTTCCATGAAATAAATTATTTCCAATTAATTACAAGAATTATATTTATTTATCAAGGAATAAATACATATAAATAATATAATTGCATCAAGTTGTTGTTTGTGTGACAACTTAGGATCATATATGATCTA